CGCCGGGGGCCGGCAGCACAAGGGCCAGCGTGGCTGCAGGACTGTTCTCAGACCCTGTTGTCCCGTCCCAGGGAAAGCGTGCCCAGGGCTACTGGTGTGGTTTGGCTCTCGGATGTGGGTTTTCAAACCAGTTGTGGATGAGCGCTGCTCGTAAACTCTCCCATGCACCCACACTCCCCTCCCCTCCCCTCTCTCCTAGGCACAGCCTGCTGGCCAGGCGGGGCTCCAGCCCTCTCAGCCCCTGCCACCTTCGAAGACTTCTACCTCAGTATTTTGCGAGCCTTTTTGAAAAAGGCATTTGCCACCGCTAAGGAAGAACTGGCTGCAGGGCCTGCTCTGTACTGTGAAGCTTTTGTCCGATTAAATAAGGGAGCTTGATGTATATAAGATTTTTTTAAACTATTTTAAATGTCTGAAACAACTCCTATTTATGAGAATAGGTATTTGACAGTTTCCATTTTAAAGAAAACTTGTAACAAGGACAGCGTTGTCCATTTACCTGTTGTCAAATGCATGGATGTTTTAAAAGGAATTAAAAATAATTATTTTTAAAAGTGCTTCCTTAAAATAAACTTAATTGACTAAACTTACTTTTTTTTTTTTTTAAAAAATAAAAGCTGTTGTCCAGGTGGCAGCACTGCCCCCTGTGACTCTCACGTGCAGCGACTTGCCCAGTACCGGTGCTCAGTAGCCGTAACTGCTCCTGGCCAGTGCCTGCGTGCGCTCAGCTGCCGTTCCTCCTGCAGCCCCGGGCTGGGGTTAATGGTTCTGTAACAAAGATCCAAGCGACTTGCTCTTAATTAGCAGCCATCCTCCCCCCTCGCCCCATCATTAACACAAACCCTTTCTACACAGCAAGCATCACCTCACACCTGCCACAGTTCACTGGGAATAAACACCACTGTCCCCTGCTCTGGCCGGTTGGTGTGGACCCAGCCCTGGCCCGTTGCGTCTTAAAGATCAGTTTGGGCTCGAGCAGAGACCAGCAGCCGCCCCCTGGGAAAAGCCTGGGGAATTTTTCCCACCTGAGGTTAAGCACAAGCAGTTCAAGCACAAATACCATCACTATGAGAAATCCTTGCTGTGTGCAAGAACCGAAGGCCCAGCTGCAGGCTGGCCGGTTGGTGTGGACCCAGCCCTGGCCCGTTGCGTCTTAAAGATCAGTTTGGGCTCGAGCAGAGACCAGCAGCCGCCCCCTGGGAAAAGCCTGGGGAATTTTTCCCACCTGAGGTTAAGCACAAGCAGTTCAAGCACAAATACCATCACTATGAGAAATCCTTGCTGTGTGCAAGAACCGAGGGCCCGGCTGCAGGTGAGCAGCAGCACCCCCGGGGCAGTTTTTGGAGGGAAAGGAGCAGCAAAAGCAGGGGCCAGCCCTGTGAAACAGCTCCCAGGAACAAGCGCCCTCAGCAGAAGGCCCAGCGCAAACACCACAAGCCACAGCAGTTTATCTAGATACAGGTACTTTATTTACAAATATTTAGATTAATAGCATTGTTACATCAAATGAGGAGTACAGCAGTCCAAACAAATCCTTTCTGTGACAGAAACAATAAGACCTACTGTAACTTACTCTGGGAGTACAGGTATTGCACCTCAACAAGCTGTAGTCATTACAACATTTGCTTCACGTCAGCAGCAGGTTGTGGTCCCTGGGCAAACCCTTTGTGGTGCAGCCTCAGTTTAAGCAGGATGCATGAGCTGTAGATCTTGAACATACCCATCTACTTAAGAGTATTAGTTAAAAAAAAAAAAAAAAAAAAAAAAAAGGACAACCAAAAAAAAAAAAAGGGAGAG